GTTCAGTCGGAGGGAACTGCTGTTGACACGCGCATCCGTGACGGATGTCTTATTCGACAGTCACTAGTATGCGCGTGTGCACAGGAGTGATCTCGCAGTGTCTCTAAATCCCATCTCTGAGAGCCACAATTTTTCGACCCACAGTTCCAACCACCTGCCAACAGGATGGGCGTTCCAATGGTACCTACGTGTAACCAGACCGAAAAGACTTGTGCGGATGCCCGCATGGAGGACGATTGCATAAATCACTCGTATGTCCGCGCACGCATAATGCATTCCGACAGGTGGCGCATGCTAGCAATAAAGGCTAAACCCCCCCCCCCCTTGACCAATCAACCTCTGCAAGCGAGACGAGATGGCGGATTCCATGCCCATGCAACCATTACGAAAAGTCCATCCATACATGCATCGACAAATCAAACTAAACCACGCTTGCGGGTTTTACCAGGACCAATTCCAAAAATCTACTCCTTATCAGCGAGCATCTCAAACATAGCATCAAATAGAATAATGGATTCGTGAAAACCAGAGAAACAGACCAAAACCAGAGAGATCCTATAGACAGAAAAATGTCAATGGAATATAGCATTTCTTTAGAAGTAAAGGTGGATTTTGCACCGTTTCGTGCGCAAATGTCATCGACCCCCCCCCTAAAAATCAGTAAATATAGGAGGCCGATTACAACGTGGAAAAAAAAGCCCATTTTGGAGGCGAACAGGCGACTCCTACTCATGGCCGACGAAAAGATTTCCAATTTATGGATATTTCAGTGCAAAACGAAACGACCAGTCAGTACTGTACATTGGAAGTAGTATTTTGTTTTAAAACAGAGGAGCCTTTTCCCGAACCTAATCCAAGGACATAAAAACTAACCGAAAACCGGGCAAGGCGAACAGAGCCTCTTTCTTTGCACTCATACTACTAAGGAAATAGAAGCTTGAAAACGAAGGTAGTAAAAAAACGGGATGTAGAGGAAAGCAAAAAACAGCCAACGACAACTGATTTCAAATCTCCAAAAGTTGTGGACAACCAAATTGACCATATTCCACCGTCATGGAAATTCAACGACTTCCAAACACGATCTTATAGGCCTATAACTCGAATTTGCGCAAATGCAGGAAAGAGCCGGATCTCGCGAGATTTGAAAGAGACCCTGGAAAATTCTCTAGACATTCGAAAACCGCACTTTTCGAATTATAGGCCTATAACGACAGTTTGAAAACGAAACACGGATACAATAATTTTAGTCCGCAATCGGTCAAGTGTTTATAGACCTATAAACCCAATGTTTAACATCACGGAAATTGAGCGAAATTCAAACACGACCTTATATGCCTATAACATGAATTTTGGGAAAGTAAAAAAACGCATAATTTTAGTCCATTATCAGTCGAGTATTTAAAGCCCTAAAAACACAGTGTTAAAAGTCGTGAAAATTCCACGAAATTCGAACACGACCTTATAAGCCTCTAATGCGAAATTTAGGGAAGTAGAAAAATAGCGTAATTTCGCGAGAATTTGACATGAAGCTTGACGGGCGTAAAAATTCTAATCCGTAATCGGTGAAGTGTTTGAAGCGTTGTAAACGCAATGTTGAACGTTGTAAAAATTCAATGAAATTCGAATACGACCTTGTAGGCCTTTAACACGACTTTGCAGGAAATAGAAAAGAGCATAATGTCGTGAGAGTTTGAACGACAAACCGCAAATCGACAATTGTTCATATGACAAATGTTTTGGTCAAAAAATGAATGACAAACCGCAAATCGAAAAGTCGGAACCCAAACGGCAAATCGTGAGTCAATTTCCAAAATCTCAAAATTGTAAAATAAAAAACCGCAAAGTACATTTGGAAAAGATCGCGAAAAACAAAAAGGTTGGCCACACGTGCCTGACTGCGAACTGCGACCTACTGTTGTACAAATTTACAAGAATTTACGAGCCGCCAGTGCCTCGACTCAAATAACAAAAAGGTTGGCCACACGTGCCTGGCTGCGAACTACAACCTACTGTTGTACATATTTACAATAATTTACAAGCCGCTAACGACTAAACTCAGATAATCTGTTGAACAGCGACAAAAGGAAACCTGACCTAATGCGGAAGCAGAAATGACCTCGATCTCGATGACACTCTGCCAACCTCCGAAGCAATCGGTTCCTAGAAGGTCTTCCTAGTCGACATCCTCCGTTGCCATGGAATTCAACATCTCAGAGATCTTTTGTCTAGTCTGCGAGAAGAGGGTCCTGTCTGTCTTCAGTTGGAAGTTGTAACAAAGAACGCCGCAACTCCAGTCATAGACGTCCTCGGAAGGCTCTCTCGTAGTCTTTCCTTGAGGATTTGTCTTGAACTGAGGATAGTAACCCTCTCCTTTCTCACGTTGTGCAAACTAAGCAACTTTGAATCGTTTACCTGCTAGCAGCTCGACAACCTTGCCAATGTGGTAAGGTTTGACTCTCTCTTCCTGCCCCGAACAAGCTCGTAATGCGATGAAAGTGTTGACCTCGAGATCGTCGTACTTTCCGTCTCTGTCCTCTCGAAACTGTCTGCTCTTTCGTGCATCGATGTAGATAGGTCTCTCAGGAGGGAAAAAATCATCCCAGCGTTGGTCAAAGTCGTTAGCGGTTGGTGGAACTTCTTTACCTGCTCTGCTGGCATCAGTTGTTACAGAGGGTCACGCGAAAGGCTCTTTGAGGTTTATGTTCTCAAGGTCGAGAGTTTCCTGCGTTGCTATAAACTTATTCCACCATTCAATATTGTGGGGTTGAGCGTAATGCGACAGGGCATGTACGTTGGCTTTCAAGGCGGCGATGGAAAGTACATCATCGTCAACCTTGAATTTTGAAGATCCTCCCGCTTTTCGATTACGGACATGACCTTCACTGTTGACGACCTTATCACGCCTCTCGTGCTCACCCCGACAAGTAAGTCGATATCTTGTTTCCAAAGATCGGATTGCATGCTTTGCCGAAGCTTGAACTTGTCCTGTTGGCTCTGACTTGAAGATGTCCAGATCTTCTCTGTCGTTCGGCTGCCACAGCAAGTTATGATATTGCTTGCTCCAAATGCGCACCTCCCCGTTGTCGTTGCGCTTGATTCGAAAATGTTGGTTGAAGAAAATATCATTGACATTATGTAGATGATCCTGAACGTACAACTTTCGGTCCATTGTTTCCGTCATCTCCTCAACGTGCACGCCATGATCTTGTTCTACCTTGTACGACTCCCTAATCACGTGTTGCAACTCAGGAAGATCGAACGCACCATGTGCAGCCAGCTTTCTCGAGAAACAGCTAAACATCTGGTCGATGTCCTCGTGCGTGTGACCTACAAGAAGAAAGTTTAACTTAACTTTACTAAACGCTCTCATTTTCACCAAGAACATGAGATATGACAACACAAATTTGTTCTTGTTCTCTTTCGAAGTGTTATCAAGTGTAAGATACAGGACTCTCGGAAATGGTACAGGAAGTAGAGAAATCTGACGATGAAGAACAGTTAGCATGAAATTAGAATCTGATTTGAAGTTGTCAAAGAAAACAGTTGTAGAGGCGTTCGATTAGAGTCCTAACACCTTAGCCGAAACCACGTGAACTATCACAAAGTTCCCTTCTTTTAGTTTCGAATCCTTTGGAACCCTAGTGAAGTGTGGCAGTATAGTCTTGCTCTGATCCATCCCATCAATGATCATTTCGACATAATCTGATGGATGACTTGAAGCCGTGTGACGATGCTTACTGAGTTTTTGTCTCTCTTCTGCTTGCATTAACCGGTGCTTCTTTAGTGCCTTGCCAAACATTTCTGAGCAAATAACAAAACAAGCGGTTACTATGTCAAAACATGTTAAAGAAAAGAGACAAAGCGCGATGAAGGGCCTTAAAATCGAAAACAATGATTAGACAAAGTGTTATAGGGTTATAACTCGGGAAAGCCAGTCCACAAGTGTCGTGCATCATAACATTCGAAGTTTGGGCAAGGCAAACCAGACGTCACTAATAATAAGGGCTTTAAAATCGAAGACGGCTAAGAGATAAAGTGTTAAAGGGCTTTTACTCTTAGAAGTCGAAGACGATTATTAGACAAAGTGTTATAGGGCTATAACTCAGAAAAGTGAGTTCACAAACGTCGTAGAATCTTCAATTCATTCTTCCCCAAAATTTCTGTTTTGATTGACTGAACGAGTTCGGGGAAGGCAACGCAGGGGTCACGAAGACGATTATTAGATAAAGTGGTAAAGGGCCTTATTTCTAAAAAGTTGAAGATGAATAAGAGACAAAGTGTTATAGGACTATAACTGAGACAGAGAGAAGACGTTTAACTATTTTTTTACCAAACTTACTACTTTCATAAGAATCCTTCCCAGTTTGCGCTGAAACAAGATTCATTTTTCTTTCTACACGAAGAACATTTAGAGAGAGAGATAGAGAGAGAGGAAGAAGAAGAAAAAATAGGAGAGACGAAAAATAGTTCCATGAGAATCCTTCCGTAAATGTGCAAGTCACAGCCTCTAGATTCTGCAAAAACAACTTAAAGGGATAAAATTCAAAACAATCAGTCGCGCTATGACAAACATTGAAGAATGAATATTGAGAGAGAGAGAGAGAGAGAGAGAGAGAGAGAGAGAGCGAGAGAAAGAGAGAGAGAGAGAGAGAGAGAGAGAGAGAGAGAAGAAGGGTCAGGAAGACAAGGGGAGAAAAAATAAGCACTGAGGTTATGTCATTACCTCGTTCGAACGCACTTGTTGCCTGTGAACGGCCTGTCTTGAATTTCAGACATGTGGAACAGACCGAGAACCTCTTCAATGCAGGAATAAGAACTTTCGAGCAGTGAACCCTCCAAATGGTCATAAATCCGGAATGGGAAGGAAGAGTCTTGTTCGTGTAGAGCTCTTTGCAATCTCGCTTGAAGAAGTCGTACACGTCTCTGCGACGGAGAGTATCTGAAAGATGAAACTGGTCACTATTTGGCATGCTCTCTGTATTGTATTGGAAATATTCATGCAACCAGGCGAGAATTTGTTGTGATGAAGCAGATAATCCAACTGATCCTTTGTTTGAATGTTCGTATAACACCATTCCTTCTCTGAATTCTTTGCGTATCTTTGCAACACGTGTAGTCGAGCATCCGTACAACTTTCCCTACGCTTTTGTGCAAACCTTTACGCCGTTAAACGTCACTCTTAATACCTCTAAATCTCCCTCATCCGAAAAGTACGACGCAACCCTCATCTCTGCGAGAAAGAAGTTGAGTTGCTCAGGTTGTTTCATCGCCCAAATTTCTTCGCGCTTGTAAAAAACATCTACCGCCGTGAACTTCTTGTAACAATTGGCCTTGCAACAATCTTCCTTCACAACCAGTTCGGCATTCTGCATGTTCACGTGGTAGTTAGCTTTCTTGTTGTACACACGTACGTTCTTGCCGCGCTTTCCCAAGTTGTAAGGAGGTTTCTCACTCTTGCTTGATTTGCTGTAGAATCCGCTTCTCACCTCCTGTGCTATTATCTGCTTCACTTCCCCTAAAAGTTCTCCAGATAGACTTTTCTTGAACATGTCGACATCAATTCCCGACTCGTTCTTCTCTTCATCATCCTCAGAGTTAGTGTCTTCTGAATCGGCGTCCTCGCTCGTTTCCTCCTCATCATCATTGTCGTCGCTCGATTCGCCCTCCTCATCATCGCCGTCACTAGGTTCCTTTTCCTCAGCATCGTTGTCACGCAATTCTTGCGCCACGCTGTTGTAGAGCGTTTCTTTCACAACAAAGTTATCGTCTCTCTCTCTGGATTGTTCGCCTTCAACGTTCGGGCACTGCCGCTTCCCTGGGCGCTCTATCTGGATTGTACTCCCCGTTTTGCCGGTTGCACAGAGACCCATCACTGTGTTTGCTGCTCGGTATGGCGCAATAACCTTTCTTGTTGTCGTGTTCGATCGTGGACGGTTCAGAAACAAACAGACATTGGTGGTCCTCTCACCAGTTGCACTGAGCTTCGGTAGAGGATTCTGTTTCTCGCCTCCGCGTGTACAACATTGACGCAGGTCCGGAAACCACCTCCTATTCTTCGTCTTGACACTCTTGGCATCAACACTCTACTTACATTGACAAAGGTCTGTAAACCATCTCACGGGGTTAATCTTGTGAGTACTCTGAGTACATCTTTCAGTTAAAGAATTTATGGCATGAATATATAATATGACAACCTATCTGGCATCTAGAAATGACGATGGCGTCACCTACAAAAGAGAAAACTCGGTGTTAGCGCGAGAAAGTGTATCAGAGGACGGCCGGA